CAAAAAAATGACTAAGGATTCTGTATGGTGTGGTATGGGAGAAGGTCGGTGGTGGGAGGAATGGCACCATGACTTATCGCACCAGGTGACACCAAACCTAGTGACCCAATAATAGACAACAGGACTACAAGGGTTTGGAGGATGAGTCTTTGTTAGTTGCAACAACTTATATAGTGCCTGATGGAAGTCATTGGACTGAAGCCAAGGTACAGCTTCACACTAGATAGGAGGGGGAATGTCATACTGTGAGGCAATACCTGAGACAATTGGAGGAGAGCTGCCTGGACAAATGGTCTAACTCTAGTACTTGGTTAGGCCAACCAGTTTAATAATGATATATTTGGTATTTCATGTAATGATGGAGTACATAAATGATATTAATTTTTAAAGTAGAACTCTTCCTATTTCCTTCTATATTGAGTTGATATAAATGAGTATGGTCCATAATGCATTTAACTTGTGATGAATTGAGTAAAGAAGTAAATAAGGATGTATATCTAAAAGACTGACAGAGAAATTAAGTTTGGTTATTAATCAGCAGAATGTGAATTTTTATGTTGATGAATGTTCTTATGTATTACTTATTTTGACAGTGGTGTATATGTATAAACTGTTGATATTCTGGGGAAAAACTTAAAATGCAAACTAATTATAATATGACTTCAGCTTCAAGCAAGGTAGCTAATGTGGAAGAAGCCAAAGTTAGAATCTTTCTAGGAACAGGTTGAAACTAAAGTCACCTGACTCCAGTTGACTTGTGAGTAGAGTTGCTAGGTATCATTTTATATAAGGTATGTTCTTTATTTGAGAGTTGGAAAGCTTTTCCTTTTATATAGACTGAACAAAATGCTGAAGAGCTCAATTTTGCTGGTGTGGGCCCTTTATAAAGATAGAAATGTGTGCATCATGTAATTTATGAATGTGGTCAACGCTTTCATTTGGTCTTTAGGAAAAATGCAAACTTGTTAATAGCTACTTCTTGATTGTTAGCTCTGCGTGTCATAAATTTTGACAATCCCTTATTGCTATTTTGAAAACCTGGCAACACTACTTGGGAGTCATATCATACCTCTTGCCATACACAACAATGGGGAACAAGCAAGGTATGGGGGGGAGGGATTGTTGTGGGGTAGGCCGCCTGGATTGGTTTTCCAATAGGCGGGTTATTAAATAAATATTATTATTATTATTATTATTATTATTATTATTATTATTATTATTATTATTATTATAGGGGATATCTTGCAGGTTCCTTCTGTGGCAATCCCCCATGGCAAGACAGAGTCCCATGCCAGTTCCCAATATGAAAACTCTCAGCAACATACAATTGGTATGAACTAATATGACTTATGAATCCTACAACACAGCTTTAATTCATGTGCCACTGAATTTACCCATATAATGTGTATTGGAGATGCAACAAATTAAAGAAAGCTATTGTCTGGGTCCCCTGCAATCACAAATGTCTCCTCTTTCTGCTCATTTGGATGCTCTGCCTCATGTGGTTCTGTAATCTTGCCCTTATAGAGTCTATTAGTCCATCCCTTGCCTAATTATGATTTATTACCTGCACTGTGAGATGCAGGCAAGCAAAACAGCTTCCAGGCTGACATGGTGCTCCACTTTCTCCATCCCACATTGCTTGCACAGAGTCATTAACTCTGAGTAATTTCCTTCTGGTAAGCATGGAACAAGTGACTGTTTCCATTTAACCCTTTGGCTGACTATAAATCATCTCTAGAAAAACATATTTGGAAAAATATAAGTAGTATCAGAAGAAGAAGAGGCTGCAGCAGTGGCAGTAGTAGTTGTGCCTCCTAAACTCTTAATAGAAGTGTCCCTAAATAGGGTTCTGGCCAGCCAGCTAAGCAGCCTCCTCCAGGATACAATGGAAAGGGATTATACTGCAATCCCATCAGGATAGGATTTTGGGAGCAGAGGTTTACAGACCCAGTCAGCTAAATGAATTAGAGGACCTCCAGTTCCATCAGAATTTGCTGCACTACACATTACTGAAAGAGCTCTTCCTCCCCCATATTGTCAAATCTATAGTCTTAAGGAGAGATAGCTCCTGCCTTCCATGTCTATGAGGTGGTAAATCTGCTCTGAGTGTTAGTCTGAAACTGAAAGGAAATACCTACATTGCTGAAGCTTATCCTGAAAATCCCACCACCTTGTAGAGCGCCAGTAAAAGAATTCAAATTTAGAGCAGTAAAAGCTACACTCTACTGCTGCTCTTATGTTATTTAACTGCATCAATAATCCAGGAGCCCTAGCACACTACGTAATTATAGCACTATGAATCCACCTTAAATGCATAACAACAGCCCATAGAATCTGGGTTTTATAGTTTGTCAAAGCACAAGAGCTCTCTGTCTGAAAAATTCTAAATATGTGTGTGTGTGCATGTGCATGTGCCTTTAAAGCCCCTCTCAACTTATGAATTTCATATAGTTTTCTTAGGCAAGAGATATTCAGAGGTGGTTTTACCAATTCTTTCCTCTCAAATACAGCACCCACGGATTGAAAATTCTAAATAGCACTTCCTAATCTGCAAATTCCAGAATTCCACAGGATGGAATCATGGCAGTTAAAGTGAAAACCATTGTTTCCTGAGAAAACAAATCTCAGGGTGAGCAGTGTTGGAGGAGAGGGAAATCTAATTTTTGTTTGTGAGGTGGTATTAAGGATTGGATACCCATCTCCACCTCTTCCCAGATGACACTAGGTTTCAGTGGCTCAAATGTGTGTGTGTGTGTGTGTTTTGGATTTGCACAATGTCAGCACATCAGAAGTCAGGAGTCGCTCTGAATCTGGAGTATGCAGCAATTGAAGTAAGCTCAGGACAAAGGGGAAAGTGGGAGGAGAGAGAAACTGAAACATTTTAAAAGCAGCTGGAAAAGCAGGATAACAAAGATTCATCAGGACTGTTCATGTCCAACTGGAATAATTGAAGGGTATAATAACATCTCATAAAAGAGCCCCAGGTTATTTTCCAGCTGATAGTCAACATTCTGGGACTCCAGTCGTGAAGGACATGGGGCTTCCTCAGTCCTCATTAGGCTGTTTTGGGACCTCAGTAGGCCTCTATTTTCTTGTTTTTAAATCCCGCTTCTGCAAAACACAGGGTTCCATTGACCATGCTGATATTTCCCTTCTATTTTGTAGGGATGTTGTTTTGTCTCTAGTTCTACTGGCATCAGGCTCTCAGTTCAATATTACAATGGAGAAATTACAGTACTATTGACAGTCATTGGATGTGCTGTGGTTGCTCTAATATGAGAGAGATAGCACTGGTTATGCCAGTGAGGGCAAGCTAAGTTACTTTGAAGAGTAATTTGGTCCATACTGGAGATTTGAACTTTTCTCTTGTTAATGATATGACTGTTGAAATCCTCTTACTCTAATAAGCTTATTAACTGCAGCTATTAAGGCAGAGTATTAGGAAGAGGGTCAGCTAGTAAAAGGGCACCTAAGTCATAATATGGAGAGGTGGCTCTAGCTGACGAGTAAAACTGTCCTTGCAATTTGCATTGGATTTGCTAAACAAATGAGTACATGCCCTCAGATTAAGGAGCACACTTTGCTGGAGATCTTAAACTTTGCCAAGGTTAGTCTCCTCTAAAGCCTGAGTATAGGTGGATGACGACAAGAACATCTTTAGCGTCAGAACACTGGTTAAATTTTGACGTGTAGAAGAACCAGTCTTGTGCATGCTTGAAAATATGTCTGGATTATGTTTTACCATAATCCTGGCCCATGCATGGTTTCAGTCCAATCTGTGGAAGATCTGGAAGTTATGCTTCTCACTTCCCACAACCCAACTCCTGAAGTTTGAAGGGAGATTCCCAATATTGAGGCTACTGATGTGAGATAATATTGGGTTTCTAGCCCACCTCACTCACCCTCCGAATCAACATTGTTGAGTTGCCCAGTGGAATACCCAGTGATAAGTATGCACACAGTGCTAATTAGAGATGACCTCTATGCACATACAGTTCTCTGTGTGCAGGGTTCCTCCACATAACTGTAAACTTTAATTGGGCTAGATTCCTGAGCTGGTGGAGGAGCACTAAGCATTTATAGGTATTTTTATGTAGGAGTACTTTCTCATTAATGTGAATCATGTCAGCCCCAAAAGATGTGTCCAGGAGTCATTGGACTTTTATGCCCAGTGAGTGCATTATTGTCCCCTCCAACTCCCTCATTGAACATATGGGGGGGGGGGAAGTCATGTGATAATTTCTTGGAAGTTTGTGTATATAACAAGGAATGAAGTCTTTACACTTCTCTTTCTCAAAGTAATGTAACCACAAAGCATAATCAAGATCAGGAGCATGATGTGGAGGGTGGTGGTCTTTCCCTCCATGCTATAATTCCATGAAAAAACAACCCCCTGACTTTTCTATTTGT